GCCCTGCACCGCCCCGCCCTGCGCCGCCTGCGCTTGGCGGCTCTCCCCGCGGGTGACTCTGATTGGACCTCTGGGCCCTGCGGCTCTGATTGGACGGCCAAGACCCATTCGCTGATTGGCCGCGTGGGCGAGGCAGAGGAGAGCCGTGCGCAGCAGCGCATTGGGGCCGTGTGCAGACCCGCGTGTGGCGCAGGCCAGGACCCTGAAAATAAACAGCCGCTACTTTGCGAGCGTCTCTCCCTGGGTCTGCGTCATTTTCTCTGCCGCTTCGGGCCCGTTCAGACACCGAAGGTGAGGACTGGGAGTCGGGGCTAAAGCTAGGGGGAACCGTGTTGCGGGTCCTGTTCCGAAGCGGACGAAGAGAGTAAGGAGCGGCGAGGCGGTGATGGCGGCCGCACTTTGGCCTTCTCCGCTGCTGCGTCAGGCGGGAAACTCGGCTGCCACTGCTGTCTCAGGCCGGAGTTTCTAGACTTCTGCAGTCCAGTGACCCTCCTGCCCTTCCTTCCGTCCTGGGAAGCTGGGCCGCCGCGCGTCGGGGCCGCTCCCAGGGCCAAGGCCGCACCCCAGGCCACAGCCTTACAGAAAGTGAGGCCCTGGCCCGTGCGCCCTTGGGACCGAGTCCCTGAGACTTCGAGGGTCGCGGAATGCGGGACAGAGGGTCGATTTGGCGGTAACTTATTGAAAGGAGGCCATGTGGTGGAAAAAAGCCCTTGGTGGGGATGTAAAAGGATTGGTGTTAGGGTACTTAATGCAGGCCATGTGCTGCGGTAGTGGGCCTAGCGGGCAATGTGCCAAAGGTTCTTAGGCCTTAGAAAATGGTCCTTGAAGAAGATCTTGAGTTTAGAGTGGTAGGACACCGGCTGCAAGGCCTGAGAATCTTTGGAATTCATACTTTCCGTATTTGATAGCTTCCCGATTCTCGAATTTTTATCGTTAGTCAAGTGCTAAGTTGCTTGTCTCACATTACAGCTCGAAAAGTGACAGGATTCGCTTTCCATGAATCAACACTATTTAAGTTAGAGGAGCTTTTTAAGAATGCCATTAACAGAAAAAAAAAAAAAAACAGTTTGTCAAACTTCCAGAAGCACAGCATCAGTACCTTTGCATCATTTCTTGGATAAAACGAACACCGTGTGATCTAAAAACGAGACATGAAGGTTAATTAGCCAGCCTTCATCCAGATTTTCCAAACATGAAAACCTATTTTAGATAGGAATCGTACCCCACATTTGGGTTTGCGTGTTGATTTTATTATGGGTAAGGCTTTAGCTTGTTGCCACATGTTAACCACATGGCCTCAGCCACAGGGCACTTCCAAGGAAGTGACATCTGGTCTTGGGGGGGTCTTTGTAAAAGAAAACATTGCTCATTGTGACTTCAGATAGTATGTAAGAGTCTGGATTCATTTTTTTGTTTATTTTAAGATAAAGGAGAATTATTTTACATTCTCGTCTTGCCCCAAATTTCAAGTTTTTAAAAGTAGATTTTCCTCTTTTCCTATTGTTTGACAGTTTTAGAGTGAAACATAACCGGCTAATTCCTGCATCATTGAGAACCTTAATTAAATTAGCAACTTTGTTACTTTTCCTCAGGCACCATAAATTTGCAAGGTTTTGAGGGTTTTAAAAAGATTTGTGATATGCAGTTCCTACCTCTTAGGCTTTCTTCTCACAAAGCAGCTCTTTTAAAAGGCTTCTAAAAAAAAATCACTCTAGTCATGGTTTTATCAAACACTAAGTGCTACATACATAGGTGCATGCTCTTTTTAGCTTGTTGAGCCTGATTCTTGTCTACAAGGAGCTCTGTGTGTATTGGAATGTAAAAGGAATAATTTATTAGATTCCCAAGAGCTGGATTAAAGACTTAATTTTTTTCCAAATTGCAACTCCTGGCAACAGTATTTTTTTTTAAAACTATTTTGTACTTATACATGTCACATTAGAAAACTTGTTTAAGTTTTTTTTAACAGTCAAAGGTCCACATTCCTTTTCATATTGATAAAAAAGAGAGGTAATGTATTTTACACACATAGGCAGTCTCAAATATTTTGAGCCAAATCTGTGGAAGACAAAGGGTCAATTATTACACCAGCATTTGAACATCTGGTACAGGCAGAGTGCTATCTTTTTTTTTTAAGGTATTATAAATGGGTTTTATAATATGGTTTTATGATTGTATGATTGGATTCTTTTTATCTTTTAAAATCTAATAAAAATATGTGGTACATAAATGGGAAGGTACCAAATAGGTGCTTTAAAGCAATAGAACCACAATTCGACTTAAGGCATTTTGCTTTATCGTGCTTCACAGATGTTGTGTTTTTTTACAAATTGAAGGCAAGACCCTCCACCAGCAAAAAGATTAGAACTCACTTTATTGTGGTGCTCTGAAACAACCAACAATATCTGAGGCACACTTGTAATTGGAAAGATTGGTTTTGGCCTATCTTGAGCATAAGGGAGATTTTGCTTTTTTTCCCTGTAGGAGGGAGTGAGGTGGGGTTGTTTTTTTTTTTAATTGTTGGTTTTCTTTCCTCTTCCTAGTCTGACAGTAGTGAAGAGCCAGAAGACTGATGCCAAGGCATCCTGGCCTACTATATGGAGAATGCTTTTTCCATACTGTCTCACTTAAGACAACTCCTATTCTGGCAGTGTCAGATGTTGCTGCAGTAAGGGCATGCTATGAGAAATTCCAGTAAACTTCATCTTTTTCATGTTGTAAAAAAAACTGCTGGACTAATAAAATGAGAGCCACCAAAATTCAAGTTGTAAGTCATTGGATTCTGTTAATCAGGAGTATGAGACTATAGTACAGTGATCACCTAGACTGGCTCCATAGTTGCAAATGAGGGTATTTAGTGAAATTAGGTTGTCAGTTTTTGGGTCTGTGGTGACATTCTTAAGTCATACCTACTTTGGCTTAAAATTCAGGAAAACTGTGTGATAGCATACTGTGAATAAATTCATTTATGGCTGTGGATTTTTAAAAAGTCATCAGTTCTAGTTTTATCTAAAGAGAAATATAGAACAGGTACTTTTTGTATTAAAATTCAAATTAACATGTGCTTTGTACAATTATTTGCTATATAATATAGTTTTGAAGTAGGGAGTGAATGGTGTACTCTTATGATAATAGCATTTTTGTGTACTTTATTACCATTTAACCCTAACAAGCCTCTGCAAAGGACTTAGAGCCAGTTATATGGCTTTGGGTAAGTCATTTGGTCTCAGATCAGTAAAATGGGAACAAGAATACATAACTTGAAGGGTTGTAAGGATTATAAATAGTATATTAATTTTTGATTCATAGGTGATATTTAACTATTATTTAAAACTCTTCAGAGTAATCAGGGCAGGCAGAAATAGATGTAAGTAACCAAGGTCATAACAGTAGATGTACGAACTAGGATAAGAGCATAGAATTGTTCCCAGTATTGTACTCTGGTCTCCATTATTCTGGTCAGAGTGCAGGTAACACACAAGGTAACTTTCCAGTATGTATTTAATTTTAACAGCAGTTTGAAACGTTTCAATACCATGTTGGAACACTAAACTGACTTAGAGCATAAAAATGAATGAGTACATTCATATGGCAAAAGTTCCACTATGTTCTAAATGCAATTAGGTCAACTGTGGATGAGTCAGGGATAACCCCTAAGCTTGGGGAAAATAACTAGACATGTGGCAAATGTGAATATATATATAGCTGTGTTAAAAAAATGTTAAAGCTATTCAGATTCCCATCTCACTTTGTCACACATCAACTTGCCTTTTGCTACTTACTTTAAATGTATTTATGGAGTGAGTTACGGTCTTTTTTTTTCATTGGAACTCGTTGGTAGTCTTGGCCATGTACTGTTAAGAATTAAGTTGTTTACTGGCTTTGTTCTTAGCATCAAAAACATGGTACAGTTTACTGACATTAATGAAGACAAATTAGTATGACCATTTGTGTTTTGGTACCAATTCCAGGATTTAAACATTAAAGCCTAGATTAATGCAAACTGTAAAATAGACTTCTTAGTTTAGCATGCATGGCTTCTCACAGTGAATCTTTAATCTTTTCACGTGATATCTTGACTGCCTTTACTCCTGCTGCCTGGCATGCCATGTGCTCCTACCACATCTTTAGGTATGATTTGTGTCATGAAAATTCAGTCCATACAAATTGAAATGGAAACAGGTAATCTGATATCCGTTGAGAATGTGAAGTCCTTTAGAATTCATGCATTTTCTTATCTCTTCATTTCATTCAGTAAGTAGAGTAGTCCACTCTAAGCCTGCTATGTAGATGTTGGACTGAGTTTTATCTACCTTTAAGCAGCCTAACTTAATTGGGGGAAAGGTGGAAAGGAAGCTATGTAAGCAGAGGACAGTAAACCCTTGCAGTTTTTAAAATTGAGCGTCTACTTAAGCACAAGTCACCTGGCAACAATTCTCAGTACAGATCAACTTTACCACCTTCCTTGCAAATAAAGACAGGAGAGAAGGGGTCAAGTGTTTGAAGCAACACACAGCAAATGGTTGACCCAGATTTACCTGTGGTCTCCAAATCTTTTTACCATGTAAGGATACAATGATTTTTAGCAAAAGGAAGAAAATATATGTTCTCCTACCTGCAACAGTGAAAATACAATATTTTGTCTTTTAAGTTAGTGTATATGTTTTGTAGCATTCCATAAAATATTACTGGGGTCTAGTTGATTGTGAATTCTTGGAGTAATAGGAAGAGCCTGGGTAGCAAGTTAGGGGTCCTGACTTTTAGTCACCTGGAGTGAAAAATTTCTCAGTTACATGGGGAGATTTTATTAGATAATCTGAAATATTCTTGAATTTAGAATGATTGTAGTAGATCTTTTGTTATTTTAATGGTGCATTAACTCTTGTGTTAGCAAGAATTAGGAGTTTTATTTTCAGTATTTAGATTCGATTTGGGTCTAAAAACTATTTCATTGCAGTTAAAATACTGAGTTATATAACTACTACTAAAAGGATAATCATATGGGTGTTATGATGATTCAAAGGTACATTACTTGGTCTCTGCTCTCAAGGAATATGATAAAAGGCAAACCTGGTAGAACCATCAGATGTATAAACAAAGTGTCCTGGGTCTTAATAGGAAGGAGACCCAGAGGCTAGGAGATGGAATCAGATTCTTTTATAGAGTTGGCATTTGAGCTGGCCCTTGAAGGTTGGCAAGGGTTGTGACAAGTGGAGGGGACAGCAGGCAGGACAGTGCAGAAAAATTCCAGGCAAGTGAGAATCATGGAGCCATAAGCCATAAATATAGCTTTGTCTTACGTTACTTACTGCCTTTAATTTCCCCCAAGGAATAGCATGAAATTCTCTAAAGATTTAACATGACTGTTAGAATGGGTACCTACTATAAGTAGCGTGCCTCTTAAACTTAGTGGGAATCAGTTGGTTTACTGTTACTAAAGAGCTAATTCTATTGCAAGGGACTCGGTGAAAATAGACCAGCTGATTGACTTGGCCAAAGGGGAGGAAGGCAGATTTCATACACATTACCTGAGGCCACTGGGCTGACCTTTAAAAAGTATGTGCCCTACTGATGATGGTCTTTGGGATGTTAATGAAATTAGTGTTTTCCTTTCCCTTTAAGATTTAGCAGTTTTTTTTAAAAACCTTAATTTATTTCAGTAAACAAAATTATGTGAGATTAAAATTTGTTGATGCAAAACAAACTAGTTTCAGTGTATATATTTCTGCCTTTATCACTGAACTGTGCATGTCTGTTTTGCAGAATAGTTTAATTGCAGTCTAAATGGAGAAATAACTGCTTTCCCTAAATTTGTAGTACTTATTGAAATGATACTTTTTAACCAATTTCAATTAGCAGTTAGAGTAGGAGGAAATAGTTTAATGTTTAACCTGAAAATGTTATTTTAGCTAATTGACTTCTTTCCAGAAATAGTACTTTTCCTGTCATTTCTTTTTCCCCTGTTCACTTTGAATCTGGGTCCCATGAATAGAGATAAGACAGAATGGAGAAATAGTTCATGAAAAACCTACATATAGGTTAGTCAGTTCTAGAGTAGCTGAATTTTTTAAAAATAGTATTTCTAGTTTAAAGTAAACTTAGATTTTTAACTGCTAACCCACTGATAAACAGCTGATGATTCATTGTAACATTTTCTTCCTACTTTACTATTATGAAATAAACGAGATCCTTTTAAAGCAGCAATCTTAAGGAGATTTCTGGAACTATCATTTCTTTAGCTCTAGAAATGCATATTGAATGTTGGATTGTCAGCTTTTCTAAAAGATAGTATCTTGTTTAAGTATTAAATTTTAAAATACTAGTACTTTTCAAATTGCCTGGGTTACCTTGTATAAGGAAGTGATTATTTCTGTGCAAAGAACTTGCTGAGCGCAATAGTTAAATATGCTCAAATTATTCTGACTGTAAACTGGAGAAGATGCAAAATGAAGAAAACGGGAATGTGGGGAGGATGAGGTGTTTTTTTTTCTGTGATCATTTTATGTGACATTCATTTTTTTATCCTTACTGATCTCTCTGGTGTAAACCAGCAGGTCACATGATTTAGAATGCTAACACCAGTATAAGAAAGCAAATCTCAAATTTTGCAAAAATACATTTTTAATCTCATTGACTGGTTTCTTCTGACTAGCAATATGCATTATATATCTGAACACACTAACTACAAGGATCCCATAAGGTGCCCTCCTCCCATTTTTGTATTATATTTATATGGCAAGTGTCAAGAGTTGGTAGAAAGATTCCTCTGAAAATATATCCTAAATTTGATTGTAGAGAGGATAAGTATTGAATTTTCTTGAGTATTTGGCCATGGAAGCTTTAATTTTTGGTTGCTAGATTTCTCTACAACTTGATGAACCATTTACTGTACCATGTGCTGTGATTGGTTTGGGTGATTCCACTGTCTTGAAACAGTATGTTTTGCTAGATCACAGTGCTTATGCTTGTCACTGAGAGGGTATTTAAAAAACTTTGTGTATCATTGCTTGACACTAGAATTAAGGGTTAAGATATCTAGCTATGAAGTTTGGCAGTATAAAGGTTACATTGTTTTTAGCTATTTTGTTTTTTAAAAGCCACTTTACTAGGAGTTTGTTCTGCAACATTCCATTCCATTCTAGGAATAGCCTACTTATTTTTAGATTGTTACATAAAAAGTATAAAATCCATTTGCTTTAATAGCAGTTCTGCTTTTATTTTGAAACAATACCCAATAAAGGAGTCTATTATGAAATTCCAAGTAGCCGTGTTTTAAATGTAAAATTATAGAAAATTGAAAATAGAAGAAAAAATATATATAGTCCCAGTGCATTAGATAGTATTAGTGCCTTGGCGTGCCTCTGTTGTTTTTCTAATATTTTTAATGTACTCTCTAGAGATAAAATTTATAGCCTGCGTTTCTGTTAACACAGCTGTTCTGAAGACTCATTTGGCAAGCATTACAGTATAACTAGGCACTGTGTTAGGTGCTAAGGTTACAGAGAGAAATTGTTTTTCTTCCCCTACCCCTCACAGAATCTATACTACAGCTCTCTTGGTTTGGATTATTCCCATTTTCTGACCAGTAAATGACTTCTAGTTGCTCAAAATAAAGTTTACTGGCTTATAAACATGAAAATGTGTCTGTTAAGTTGGACCTGGAGTGAGGTATTACTAATTATGTTTAATAATGGGTGTTTATTGATACCCTATACATTTCAGCACCCCATCAATAATTGAATTAGCATGTGTTTTAATATATATATGCGTAATCTTAATTGTAACAATCAAAAATAGTATGAAAAAATGTAATGTTTTACAATTTGTTTTTCACTTTTAATATATTTTATAGTAGGTGTATAATGCCTAAGCAAATAGTTGCGTGATTATTTTTCTAACTGATATATTTGCTGGCTTTTTTCCCCCCAGAATAATTATCAAAAAATACACTAAAAGCTAGAAGTAATTTCAAGTGGTTAAATGTTGTTTTTAATACTTTGAAGATCTGACTGTAGCCATGAGCAGCAATGAGTGCTTCAAGTGTGGACGATCTGGCCACTGGGCCCGGGAATGCCCGACTGGTGGAGGCCGTGGTCGTGGAATGAGAAGCCGTGGCAGAGGTGGTTTTACCTCAGATAGAGGTATTTTTATCGAATTAAAAATTTTGAAGTACTCGAGTATTCATTAGAATCAAGACTTGCCTAATTAGCCACATTATTTTTGTTTCTGTCCCAAATAGGTTTCCAGTTTGTTTCTTCATCTCTTCCAGACATCTGTTATCGCTGTGGTGAGTCTGGTCATCTTGCCAAGGATTGTGATCTTCAGGAGGATGGTAAGTATTTAACACTTTTCATATCCTTCTAGAACTTGGAGAGGTGAGCACAGCAACATAACATTAGAAAAGATTTTCCACTTTTGAGGTTTTGTATTGTATGGTTTAAAAACATAGTAACGTTTTATAAAGATTTTATAGTCTTGGTCTGCTTCTTTTTCTTATTGTTGAAGCCTGCTATAACTGCGGTAGAGGTGGCCACATTGCCAAGGACTGCAAGGAGCCCAAGAGAGAGCGAGAGCAATGCTGTTACAACTGTGGCAAACCAGGCCATCTGGCTCGTGACTGTGATCATGCGGATGAGCAGAAGTGCTATTCTTGTGGAGAATTTGGACACATTCAAAAAGACTGCACCAAGGTGAAGTGCTATAGGTAAGTTGTTAGAATGTTGCTGGAGGAATGCTTATTGCAGAGATTCTTTTAGAGATGAATTAGCTATGAATGGAAGGATGTCGTGGATCAATACATTCAGTGAAAGTTGGCTGTGACCAACAATCTATCTGTACATTAGTATTTTGCCATGATAGCTTGTGGCAACTTATACAACTTGGGGAATTTTTAATGTTTTAAAAATAAGAATGTTATAAGTTTTGATTTGTACATCCCTGTGAGATCTCAGGGGTTATTTTGCATAAAGACATATCATCTTGGCTTGTATTTTGGTTTTGATGTTGGTTGATACCGTAAAGGTGAAAATTTTAATTTTGCGGCTTTGCTGAGTAGCTTTGTTATATAATTCCTCCTTTTTGCTCTTTAGGAGGTTAATAAGACTGTCTTGAGAACAAAAATGTATTGATTTCACTTGTCATTGCTTTTTGTCCTGCAATGATTGTTGCTTTAGTACAGTTTTTTTATATTTTCTAAGCACTATGGTGAAAAACTATTTTAATTTCTTCTTTAGGTGTGGTGAAACTGGTCATGTAGCCATCAACTGCAGCAAGACAAGTGAAGTCAACTGTTACCGCTGTGGCGAGTCAGGGCACCTTGCCCGGGAATGCACGATTGAGGCCACAGCTTAATTATTTTCCTTTGTCGCCCCTCCTTTTTCTGATTGATGGTTGTATTATTTTCTCTGAATCCTCTTCACTGGCCAAAGGTTGGCAGACAGAGGCTACTCCCAGGCCAGTGAGCTTTACTTGCTGTGTAAAAGAAGGAAAGGGGTGGAAAAAAAATCGACTTTCTGCATTTAACTACAAAAAAAAGTTTATGTTTAGTTTGGTAGAGGTGTTATGTATAATGCTTTGTTAAAGAACCCCCTTTCCGCGCCACTGGTGAATAGGGATTGATGAATGGGAAGAGCTGAGTCAGACCAGTAAGCCCATTGTGGGTTTTTTGAATATGTTCCCATGTAGGAGGTAAAAACCAGTTCTGGAAGTGTCTGTGAGCTTCCATAAATAACTTTTAATTTTAGCATAATAATGGCCTTGGATTATCTGACCTCAGTAGCTGTTAAATAACATCTGTATCAGGCCATACATAGAACGTACAGTTGAGTGGGAGTAAACAAAATAAAAAGACAAACGTGTGTTAATATCTATGCGAGAAAAATCGGGATAAAAGCCTAAACAGGAACAACTTCCTAGCATTGATGCTGGATAAGCAGATGGTGATGGCAAAAGTTTAGAACACATTTTTTTCAAAGACTAAATCTAAAATGCAGAGTAAACATCTATGCTCAGAGTTAGCATAATTTGGAGCTATTCAGGAATTGCAGAGAAGTGCATTTTCACAAAAATCAAGATGTTATTTTTGTATACTATATCACTTAGACAACTGTTTCATTTGCTGTAATCAGTTTTTTAAAGTCAGATGGAAAAAGCAACTGAAGTCCTAGAAAATAGAAATGTAATTTTAAACTATCCAATAAAGCTGGAGGAGGAAGGGGAGTTTGACTAAAGTTCTTTTTGTTTGTTTTAAATTTTCATTGATGTATATAGTGCAAAATGCCATATTAAAGAGGGGAATGTGGAGTACTGAAAGCTGATAGTTTGGACTTTTCTTTTTGTTACCTCAGTCGTGTCTTCGATAATGAAATATAGCTATTACAAGGAAGCATAGGCTTTATAGTTTGGTGTCAATTGTGTTGCAGGGATGTAGAAAACATAATCCTCTTTCTAATCTTTTATAATGCCTTTTAGTTCATGTTCATTCTGAATAGTTTAAAACCATTGCTGTGTTTTAGCATTTCATATTTTTCCTAAGCTTCACAAAGGTCTGAAATGTTGGATTCCTTGTTTTTCTAGGATCTGGAGTTGAGATGGACCTTAGAAATCATCTCGTTTAATGAACTCACTTTATAGATGAGTTACTAGAAGTTTAATTTGCTTGAAGGAACAAATTAGAACCTAGAGCCTCAAGTGTCTTTCCCACCCTATGTTCTCTGTTCTTTTTTATTCTCCCACTGAACTAAATACAGTTAGTGGTATATTTTTTCCCAACCTTCCCCCCCACACACCCTTTTTACAGTGCCATGTCATTCTTGACCTTAGATGTATTGTGAATTTTTCATCTCTTTCTAGGGTCTGATCAGTTTGTGATGCTGTGGTGTTAAGATGTTAGTGTCTAATCTGTGCTGTGCCAGTTCTAACTTTGTCCAAATTAGTGGTCCAAAGCAAGCAAGAAAGTGAAATCATGGCAGGTTTATTTCTTTATGAATATAGATTTACATGTTTCTTCTTCATTTTATATTTTTACTGAGAAAAGTCAGATGTTAACTAAGCATGTTAAATATAATGTTGATAATTTTAGTTTCTACTGCAGTATGAAACAGCCTAACAGAAGACCTTATTTTCAAAGGCATCACTGTTAAATGTAATTAAATTTAAGGTTAGTGGTGGTGGTGCATGCACAGAGGGTTATTTTCCCCCAGGGTTTCTGGTGTCAAGTAGAAAAACATAAAACATAGAAAATGAGATATTTAGAACTGTTTTTTTGCTTCGTACTATTCTCGGGACTGCATTTGGAATATCTGGGGGCATTTTGTTTCAGGACCCTTTGATACGCAAGAACCTACTCACAGCTGACCATAAAGTGTTCTTTAATGAGATACCATTTGTTTGCATTGACTTTGGTGACTGAGCAAGTGCAATGTGAAAATAAGTTTTGCATGGAAGTTAAGCTAATTACTAGGAACCAGTGGGTAAGAACCTGGATTCTTGGAAGCGAATTCTTCCTACAGGAGATATGGACTAGGAAGAAACCAATCCCCTGTGTTTCTGTAATATCTGCTGACTTTCACATCCCTGTGTAAACTAGATAAAAGGTCAAGGATTTCACTTATTACATGGGTTGAGGGGATGAAGGAAAGATAAATGGAGGTAATACAATGAATTTTGCATTGTCTAAAGGATAAAACTTTATCTTGCTCTTGCATCCCTGTTAGGTTTTGCTGCTTTTTTGCCTTCTTTTATAATAGCTATTTCTCCTTAATTTCTTGAAGCTTCTTTATCAGTGACTTGAGTAGATCAAAAGGTCTTGCATAGCCAGTTTTTTTAAACCAGGTCCAGTCAAGGTGTATAAATTGCATTTGGTTAAGTTTCTTTAGTCTCAATCTTCCAAGTTTCTCACTTTTCCTCCTTATAACCTTGATTTTTTTTCAAGAATGTCCTATATTTACTGATTTTTTTTCTTCATGGTGTCATTTAGCTTGTTTATATCTTCTCTATTTCCTGATCTAGAGGCTTGATCATTGGGTTTAGCTCCAGTTCTGGCAAGCATGTAATGTTTCATTACATCAGTTTTACCATTAATATAGAACTTGATCATTTAAGGCGATCTTTTCTTTCATTGTAGTGATAATACATTTGAAAATTTAGTAGTCTATCTCAGTATCCTTTCACTTAATGCTTTTAGCATTTATCATCTGTTGCTTTATGTTCATAAACATGTATAAAAGGAATATAGAATGTAATTACACTGGTTCAGTAAAACCACATTATACTGAGAGTGATATAGTGCACTTCCATGGTTTTGAATTTCTTTATAAATCTTGAATGTCATTAAAAAAACATAAGGAAAAGTTGGTTTTCTTAAATAGTCACATTTCTGTTGTAGTTGTGAGGAAAAATTTCAAAATGAGCATTCACATATAGTTCTTGATAGATTTTGCCTGGGAAGATTGTAGCTGTTACACTTGAGTTGTTTGTTTTGTTTTGTTTTGTTTTTAATATGTTAAATTATTTATGGCTTATACTGCCCCTTAGCACATAGCATTTCTAGTGTTAGGAGGTCAGGCACTTGGTTTTCTAATAATGGCATAGCATGAGATATTTTATCTGGGAATTGAAGTGGTCTGCCTAACAGGAGGTGAGAAGCTTATTTAATACTAATATTCTAATTAGAATTCCATCTAAACTTTTAAAAAAATTTTTATGAGTTTATTTTTGATGACATGTGCCAGGGAACAAGATCTCAGATGTTCTGGAGAATAACAGTTTTGTAGCTTCTTTTATATATTTGAAATTAAGAAGGGAACATAAGAAAGATTACATGAAAACAATGTGGGGATTGGATTACAGGATAGTTAACAAGATAATGTGCTCTTTTGAGTGGTTTTAGCTTATTTCAAAGGCATGTTAACCTAGATACACAGAAACAACAGGGCTTGCTTAAAGCAAAGATAAACTTCACTAAAAGTTAAAATACTTGGGTATGACTACCTGCCATGTTAGGAATTTATGATCAGATTACCCTGTGAGGTTACTTTCCACAGAACCCTTTTTTTTCATCCACAGTTTACATTTTTTGGTCATAAATCAATCCTCAGGATGCATTGATGACCAACTTTTGGTCGGATAGTGTAGTCTCAAAGCAGTAGGAAGGCTCACTCATTCCTAGGAAGGCTCGATATCAGAGTTTTCTCCTTGACTATTTGTGGATGGGGCAATACCATAACCATGGGATCTGAGTTGAGGCTGAAGTTTCCGAAAATGGGAAGGCCAAGTAAATGGAAAGCAGTCAGTTCTTATGACCTTCATTGAGGAAAAACAAAATCCTGGATCATATCTGTCCTGTGAACTATCATGGTCTCAGTTTTGCCTTCTGTCTCATTTTTCTGTATTTGGCATCTAGTTAACATTTACATAAGCTATGAAGAGTGTTAACAGTTATAATATTCAGTTATAATATTCAGTAATTATAAATAGTTGGAAAAAACCCAAAGAACAAGTATAGCTCTTATGACTAATAATAGCAGACAGGTGAAGACAAACAGTAGACTCTGAGTTCAATATCAATTCATAGGTATATAGGCTTTGTTGATGACTTGAGATAGCCGTCTTACCTCTGGTGTCAGTGGCTTCTTGTACTCAAGTAGTCTTTGATGTTTGCAAATGGGGGCAAATGTCCATTCATGGTTAGGTGCCTGATAAAGTCCATTCCAGTGAGGTTGAAGAGCGGCTTTTCTGTGATGTCCTTTCCAATAAAATCTCCAGCTGGTAGTCAGTGATCTTTAAAGTCTTTGTCTCCTGAGACAAAGGAAGTGGTTCTAACTTGGCATTTTCTTTAAGTGTTTATCAAACCTTGGCAGTAGTGTAAGATGTCTCCTTTTAATAATGTCAGCTCATAAGTTCCTTTAAGTCCAGCTTAAATGCACTGTGATGCATGAAGGGATGCAAAAAATGAAAATTAGGAAGCAGGGAAGAACCAAGAGGCTCTCTTGGGTTTCCCATGGCCCCAACTATTTGTGTAATTTATAACCATTGTTTACCCATACAATATACTGTAGAAATTTTCATCACTTATTTTACAATGCTTCTCAAGCAATTTCAAATCATAAGGTGTTCCGGGGGCCTTTCTGAAACACCACAAAGTTATTTCTATTTATTTTGAGATTTTAACTCTTAAAACCTCAATGTCTAATGAAAATTAAGAGATAATCAACATTCTTTAGCTTGTACATTTTATAAAACCTCTAGAAACATTTTCATATACATAAAAAGTTGATTATTAACATGGACTTATTTTTGTAAGACCCAGGCAAAATACATGTTCGTTTTATTTAAACCAATAAGCTTAAGCTAGCTTTTTTTTTTTTTTTAAATACTTATTGCTTTAATATAAAGGATAAACAGCTAGATGAAGAGGTACAGAGATTCAGAAGAGTTCGGAGTGTAGGAGCTTCTGGCTCCAAGGAGTTAGGGTGCAACACCCTTGCAGTGCATAGATGCATATGCCAGTTCAGAAATTTAGGCTAGCTTTTATTTACTAAGGATTAATCTTAGATCATGTGAACTTAAAAAGCATTCGAGTTTGTTTCTATATGAGAAATTTAGAATACTCAAGTCGTAAGCACTTGCCTTTAATTTTAACAATACAATCTTACATTTACAACATACATTATAGACACAGATAACAGAGACCTTTTAGCCATGAGGAAAACTCACTAGTTCCAAAACAATTGGATCTAAATTTTGCCCTGGAGGCATTTATAATTTATGTCTATCGATGACTAGTCAGGTTCCAAATGAACTTCCCCTTTTTTAAAATAAGACCAGCCATTTTAATACCTCAAAGAATTAGGTTGACGTCTAAAGGACATGGCAAATTGATCTTTTTATCCAAATTCTCTTTGGAGCTTCAAGAGACCAATTAAATATGTTTTCTATTCATTTTGCCTCTTATAGTTGGCTTTGACTAATGATGTGTGCAAAATTTCGGGCATCTTTATGGGAGGCTGGCTGACTTGGGGCTTGTTGGCCTTGAAGGCACGATTTCCCATGTTAATTTTGAGATCTGTAGAGTCCGACAAGCTTCTAGGAAAAACTAGCACTTAATGTGTTCATCTCCGGATGAGCCATATTCAGTGGACATTCCTATAGGACTGCTTTATGCCCTAGAGCAGGAGTCCCCAACCCCTGGGCCGTGGACCGGTACTGGTCTGTGGCCTGTTAGGAACTGGGCCACACATCAGGACGTGAGTGGCGGGCAAGCGGGCGAAGCTTCATCTGTATTTGCAGCCACTCCCCAGTGCTACCATCAC